GGGATTGCAAAAATAATGAATATGACCTTAATAAACAAGGTCAGATGTATGTTAATAAGTTATGGGCTTGCAAAGGGATTTTGGGCTGAGGCAATATGTATTGCTACTTATATTATAAATAGGTTTCCATACAGTTCTGTAGGGTTTAAAACCCCACAGGAACTGTAGACTAGAAAAGCCCCTAAATTGGCACATATCAGGGTTTTTGGGTGTGCTGCATACGCCCACCAAACTGAGGGAAAATTAGACTCAAGAGCCACCAAATGCGTTATGTGAGGTTCCCCTGAATGAGTGAAAGGGTACAGGCTATGGGTGCTAAGGGTACAAGGCATTAAAATCATTAATAGCAAGAATGTTGTCTCTAATGAACTTGAAATGCCGTGCCTTAAACATAAAGTTGATAAGCCTAAGGAATCTAAAATTTATAGAACTCCTCAGATTAGGGTGAAGTTGACAAGATTCAGTCCCTCACAACCTGTGAATGGTGAGGCTGAATATGAAGTCCCTTCAACAGAAGGGAATGGGGATAATTCTGATGGAGGTAAAGCATAAGAACTTGAACCTGTAAACCAACCTCAAGTTGATAGTGAATCTGAAATCTGTAATGACACTATTGTAGACTCCACAATAAGAGACTATTAACATATAAGAGATAGGAAGAGGAGACAGCCTAGACCAAATCCCAGCTATGAAACATTAAATCTAACTGAATTTGCTCTAGTCTCGGGTGAAAACTTAGAACATTCAGAACCTTCTTCTTTTGAAGAATCTATGGATGGAAAGAAGTCTGAAAACTAGAAAAGAGCAATGGAAGAGGAGATGAAATCTTTACTGGACAATAAAACTTGGAAACTAGTAAAGAAACCAGATAAACAAAGGGTTGTGCAATGTAAATGGGTGTACAAACTTAAGGAAGGTAGTAATCTCAGTGATTGTTGGAGATATAAAGCCAGGCTAGTTGTCAAAAGCTTTACTCAAAGGGAAAGGATTGACTATAATGAGATATTTTCACCACTAATAAGTATAGGACTATAAGGTTGATGCTTGCACTTGTTCAATTTAATTGAGAACTTGAACAATTAGATGTTAAGACTGTTTTCCTAGATGGAAAGTTGGGAGAGGATATATATATATATATAAGTTTATGTGTAAAATTATTTTATTAGGAGAATGTATGGTTGAAAATGAGTTTGAAAAAATAATAAATTTTTAGATAATGAACTCAAAGAGGGACTTAAATTCCATAAATATTGTAAAATCAGTATTATTAAGACATATTAAAATGTTCGCTATGATAAAATGTCTATTTTGTCTATATATATATATATATATATATATATACGCACACACACGTGTGTGTGTGTGTGTGTCAACCTCAGGGTTTTGAGGTGAAAGGCAAACTGATTATGTTTGCAAATTACAAAAATCATTATATGGGCTTAAACAAAGCCCAAGGCAATGGTACATAAGGTTCGACACATATGTGCTTAAGATTGGATTTAAGATGAGTGAATATAATCCATGCTTGTACTATAACAATGTGAGAAGTGGTAGTGAAGTATGTTTGCATATGTAGATGATATATTGTTGACCAATCCTAGCAAAATTGAAATTATAAGAATGAAAGATCTTTTAAAATTTGAATTCGATATGAAAAATCTAGGGAAAGCCAAAAAGATCTTGGGAATGGTTATTGATAGAGATAGGCCGACCCATAAATTGACAAATTACTCAAAAGTCTTATCTTGATAAAGTAATAACTAAATTTGGCATGAAAGAAGCCAAACCTATTAACTTACCTTGGCAACTCATGTGACTCTTTCAACTGAACAAGCACCCAAAATAAATGATAAGATAAGTGAGATGAGAAACATACCATATGCCAATGCTATAGTGTTTGTACTCCACGGTAACCACTAGGTCTGACTTAGCTTACTCTATTCGTTTTCTAAGTAGGTTCATGTCTAATCCTGGGAAGCCACATTGGGTTAGGTTGAAATGGCTATTAAGATATATATTTGGAACTGTAAATGTAGGGTTAGTGTATGAAAGGAGAACTGACAACTTGACATTGAAAGGATATGTTGACTCTGACTTTGCTGCTGACAAAGTTCAAAGGAAATCTACTTCAACCTATTTCTCTACAATTGGTGATAACTGTATTACATGGAAATCTCAATTACAACCCATTGTCACACTATCAAGTACTGAGGCTGAGTATGTGGCTATTACAGAGTCGGTAAAAGAATGTATTTGGTTGAAAGGAATCCTAAAATAATTGAATTTTTTGTAAGGAACACCTGTGATCTTTACTGATAATCGAAGTACATTATTACTTAGTAAAAACCTAGTCTATCATGAAAGATCCAAACATGTTGAGGTGAAGTACCACTTTATGAGGGAAAAGACTGCAACTGACATCATTAATCTTGAAAAAATTCAAACTGAAGAAAACCCATCTGATATGGGCACTAAGATCCTTCCTGTTAGCAAATCTAAATCTTGTTCATCATTTCTCTATATTTACATAGGTTAATTTTTGTGCAGATACTTTGAGTAATGATGTAGGATCAACCACTATGTGCACATTAAGAACCAAATAGAGGATGTGTTTTCTGAGAACCAAGGTGAAGATTGTGAAAACATGTTTCTCAAAAACACAACTTATATGAGGACAGAATAGCCTTTTATGCAAAAATTGATCTACTTGGAAGAGGAAGGCCACATGGCAAACCCTAATTGGTTCTTGACCCCTCACACGAGTTGTGCTAGTTTAAACTGGATTTGGACCATTGGTTTTGAATTAACGGCTGAGATTGATCATCATTTTCTGAAGACTTCTGGAAGGGGACGATTGAGTCACTTTTTCTGCCTTTTAGTTTTGAGAGACTTTTGGATTTTTATCTCTCTAAGTTTTTCTCCGGTTTTCTCTTCGTCTTCATCTGATTTTTCTTTCAAGATCTCTCTAGAGATCCAAATCTTTACTGAAAATCTATGTAAATGGTGTTGTTACAGTAACTTCTTTGGCCTGTGAAGAAGGCCACTAACCTGTACAGTGGTTAGGTGTGGTTTTCAGTGGTTAGGTTAAACTAGAGTTATGATTTGGGAGATCCACTTCGATCAGTGACCATATCGTGTTTTGATTTGGGTCTTGGAACATTATAATCTCTCTTGAACGTCTTTTGTGCACTAATAGTGGACTGATCTCTGAGCCCCCTAGAGTATGCATTATTGGCCAAACTAGGTGAACATTTTGGTGTTGATTTTCTTGGTTTCTTGCGTGCTTGGCTATTTTTCATTTTTTTGTTATTTTCACTTTTGGTTAACTATCGTTTTTGGGGACAAAATTCCTAACAAGTTTCTAGTTTTGTCCATAGATTATACAGGGTAACACATTAAACAAGGCTACTAGCAATGGTCTTTTCTATAGAGTGGAGGAGCCACGACAAGATTATGTCACAACATTGATCCCATAGGGCAGAAGCAGTGGAATCAGAGGTTTTGGAGAGGATTCCACTAACAAACCCTAGCTTATTCTTGGCATTGAGAGCCTAAGCAATTGCTCGGCTCCAAGTAGAGTCATTATCACCTTTCAATGGTGTATCATCAAGCACATTTTTGGGCTGATCGGAGAAGTGAAAGAAATATGGCGCTGAGACATCTGTGATGGCTTTGGTGATATCAAGGGTGGATGGAGCAGCAATGGGATGGTAAGATCGCTATACCTTTGCGATTAACACCATGTTAAGATTGCTGAATAAGTATAGAAATGATTTGGAAATTGTGGATAAAATGCATATATGTACAGAAATGATGAAGTCAAAGTAAGGTATTTGACAATTACAATGGAAAAAATCTCGGTTACACCTAATATGGAGATAACCTTAGGAGATAATTTTGGTAGTACAACCGAGATATACATAATAATATATTTGAATATGATGAACAAATAAACTAATCGATAAAGATCTCTATGATAAAGAAAATATAGGCTTGAACAAATGAAATGTCCTAATTCTAAATTTACTAAGAAAGACTTGATATTGTAATTCTCATAAATTTAATCAAAACGTCCAATATTATCACATACCTTGACTCGTAGTCCTCCTTCTGTTGCTCGTCATCTCACTCATTCATTTCGTGGTTTTCATTTATATGTCATTATCTCAGATATAACAATGATAATTGTATATTTCTTCACAATTGCCATGCCCAAGAAGGTAGGAGACAGCAAAGAAAAAACAATTAGTTTTCTAAATCAATGGAGTTAAAAAGGCTTCAAAATAAAGACAACCACTGTGTGCTTTATTCATTTAGGTAGATAGGCTTTTGTGAGCATTGTGTGGAATGCACACTCCCTCTGGTAATTTAATGAACAATCTTCCCACTTTTGTGTGGAGAACACACTCCTCCAATTTTATATCACCCCATTGAGTGATCTCCTAACCAGCAATCCATTTTCAGAAGGCTACTTTTATCTATTCCACCTAAAGAAAGAAAGTGGGGTTTGTGATAAAATTGTCCGTTATTTTGTCTATATCTTATTGACCGACTGTTTCACAAATTTTTTAATAAAAAAATTTAGAAATTTTGATAGAAGTGGATGAAATGCGAAATTTAAAAGTTGATAAAGTTATGGGTCCTATGAAATGTGGAGTTAAACTTAATTGTTGATTTTGATCTTGACTTTTTAAATTTCACAAACAAGCACTTAGTTGAACATAGATGGATGTTTAAGAGTTAAAAATTATGGGAATCTGGAAAAAGTGGCAGACTTGAAATTTGTTTCATACCTCACATATTAATGCCCAGTCCTGTATGGCATTGGATATATATGTTTGTACTCGTTAATTATGTCCAGTCGTGTTAGTCCAACAACAAAATATTAAAAGAGAAGTGCTTCAGATTAAATAAACAAGGCTTATGCTCCTCACATTGCACCTTTTTCTTTTCTTTATTTCCACCACTTAATCCCCCATTAACACTCATTATCTTTATAGTACCTGTTCAGTATATATAACCCTTCACTCATTCATGCAGTATTGTGTCTTCAACAAGCAACTCCCCCATTAGTAATAACATCATAGCTAGCTGCTATAATACTTTTCATGGCTGCCCCAAACCCAAACCATGCACAAAAAAATCAATGCAATTTCTCCAAAGACTTTGACTACTCCCAAAGGGCACAATGGCTTCGAGCCGCCGTGCTAGGAGCCAACGATGGATTGGTTTCCATTGCATCATTAATGATGGGAATTGGAGCAGTGAAAGAAGATGCTGAAGCGATGGTTCTTACTGGATTTGCAGGGCTGTTTGCCGGTGCATGTAGCATGGCAATTGGAGAGTTCGTCTCCATGTACTCCCAACTAGACATAGAAATAGCCCAAATGAAGAGAGAGAAGAGAATGACAAACAATGGACAGAATGAAGAAGAAATACAAAAGGAGAAACTCCCCAACCCTTTTCAGGCGGCCTTGGCCTCAGCCCTGGCCTTTGCTTTAGGTGCCGTAGTACCATTACTTGCAGCTGCTTTTATAGCAAACTATAAGGTGAGGCTAGGAGTTGTGGTGGCAGCAGTCACCTTAGCATTGATTGCGTTCGCAGGAGTCGGGGCGGTGCTGGGTGGGACATCAGTGGCGAGGTCTTGTCCTAGGGTGGTGCTGGGTGGCTGGATGGCGATGGGTATTACATTTGGGCTTACTAAGTTAATTGGCTCCAATGGTCTGCAAATGTAATTACTAAGTTTACCTTCGGTTTCAGCCTTCCTAATTTGTTGAATAAAAGATGGGCTAAAAAAAATGCTGTTAACACAAAGAAAATGATGTATCATATGAGCATCCTACGCTTAGTTTGTATTTTCTACAAGGCTTTAAACTGTATTGTGCTGAATTAGAATAAATAAAGTTCATGCCAATGGTAATAACTCATTTGCAAATGTTCCAAAAATGAACTTCCTAGACATAATGGATTACTTCCTTATCAATATATTCCATCTTACTTTACTTTCTAAAATCAACTCTCTTATGCATACTCGCGGATTCCAAACAATTAAAACCAGTATCAACAGCTGCTACCACTGGAGAGAGAACGATAATGATATAACAAAAGGCGAAAACATTACAAGGTAACAAGAGTAAGGTTTTATAAAAAGGAAAGAACGTGCGAATAGGAAAAACCACGAAGAATAATTTGATTAACCACAATATCAGCAACATGTGACAAGAAAGAAGCTCGAATCTATGAATATAAAACAGAACAGCTAATACAACTTCCACAAAAGATACGAAAAACAACTAAAAGTTGCAACATACTACAGGGGGCTTACTATAAGGCCCCAGTACCCTTCATGCGGACTTCAGTTTGGATTCAATCAATCCTAGTCTGCTCAGATCGTCTATTTTGAGTCTACAGATCAATCCAACGGTAATTGATCCCAACAATAAATTGAAGCCCTTCATTTATCTTCAAGGATAAAGCAGGTCCACTGGGTTGTTAGTTTATAGTCAGAAAAGTGATCCAAATTCTCCCCAAGTAGGATTTGAACCTACGACCATAATAAGAAGTCGAGATAGACTACCCCCCCCCCCCCCCCCCCGCCAAAGATATTCCTGAAGTAATCTACACATTGCTAAAAAGTCCAAGAGAATATCTACCACTTTGTGAATATAATTCCATTCTGTAAATTAAAATCGTGATACCGAATGCCATTTCGATATAGTACCCTCCTGCAAGTGCTTTAGGATTTGATGTAAAATATTATTGGTGATGTGAGTTGTTGGTTAAACATGGAATATCAATCAATATTCATAAAGATGTGTATTAGAATCAACATATAATAAATGGATTGTAGATTTACCTAAAGCAGTTTTCTGAAAAATCCTAGCTCTTTGTGCTTTTGATGGGTTTTCAATATCGTTTCTATATCCTCTGCTGTTGTTCGTTCGTAACATATGTTGTATCGGAGTGATATCAATCAAACCTGATCAGCTATCAAAATCCCACATTAAGAATTCATATTTCCTAGATAGAAGATGAACTGTCCTTTCAGGTTTACTAAGAACAAGACCCGGGTCATTTACTGCACAACATCTCCTAGATGTAATCAAAACCAACTGTTACTGTCACATACCTTGAGCTTAAATCCTACGACAATTTATGTTGTCATGTCATTATTTTGGGATACATTTCCAAGAGACTATTTATAAAAAGCATCTTATGTATTAACTACTTTAGAACATATTTGGATAATTTGTTGGAAGTATTATCTTGCTAGAAGATCTTTTAGTAACTTCGTCGTAAAACTCTTCTACAAGAAAAAGAAGCAGAAGCATAAGCACTGCCATACAAATCCTTAGTCCAACCACCAAATATTAAAAGAGAAGTCCTTAGATTAAAGCCAACAAAGCTTGTGCTCCTCACGCTGCACTATTTATTTCCTTTTATTGCCCCCCCTTAGTCCTGCACACATTCCCATTTTGACTAATTAATATTTATGTATCCTCGAGTATATAAATACTTGACTCATTTATGTTTTCTTCTAAATATTCCATCTTCTCTTCCTAGCTAAAATGAACTCTGTTATGCAAGCTCAAAGATTATCATTCCCTATCAAGACAGCTATAAAATCTATAGTCAGTCAAGAAATATTATTAAGACTGACCGTCCATATCTGGCACATACTTCAAAACCGTCAATCCCCAAATGTGATGAAATATATGATAAATTAAGAAGCATCTCAAGCTAAATAATTGTCTCAAACATATTATAATCATTATTTTTCTGGAATGCAGAAGAAAGGAATTGTTTCTTCAACAGGTTCCGATCATTCTCAGCAAGATTTGACCACAGCTGATCATCACAACTAGTGATATAGTGCCCATCCCTCCCCATGCCAACTCCTATGTTTAGCTAATTGTGGAGATACCGACAAGGTATGTCATATAAATGCACTACACAATATGATAGAAAACCAATGATAATAAAGCCCATGGCCATAAATTAGGGAGAAGACTATCTAATACCACATTCAACCGTTGGTACCACCAGAGAGAAAATAATAATGCTATAACGAAAGGTTCAAACAAGAATAATGTAAAAAGGGAAGAATGAGACTAGCTAGCTCCATTACTAAAATTGAATTAGCAAGTATACAGATAGCATGTGATTAGGAGAACCCAAAAAAAATAATTTCAATAACCCAAATTTCCAGCAACATGTGACAAAAAGGAATATTATGTCTAAGATTATGAATATGAAAGGGAACTAAGAATTCAACATCTATAAAAGAAACCAAAACATCCCCATGTGATTAACAGATTTGCAGAATATCAAATCTGGTAACCACGGCTTATGAAGGAAATATATTTAATGAGAAACATATTGAGCAGAGATAAGAATATTCACTGGGTGGTGGGTGCATTATGTTTAACATGTTAGTGGTAAAAGTAACAGGCAAACGGGTATTGTAGCTTCAACAACCTCCCTGCCCCGAACCGCCCTTGAGGGAAATGGAAGTGAAAGAGAGCTGCAGCCAACAGCAGATCTTGAACCAGCTTCCCAATTGAAAGACGTTAGCCAAAGGACAAAAAATGTCGACCCTTCCACCTCAAAGAAAAATCAAGATCCACTCGTGAAAAAAACATACTAACAAACAGAAAACTCTGATCGGCAAAAGAGTTATTTTTTGTTCTGGGACACTTCAAATTCAGCCTAGGCAGCACTCTCCATCATTTGCCAACCAAACTTGAAACATGTACGATACTATATCCAGATCTCAGCTACCAAAAAAGAGGACAAGACAAAAACATAACAAGAACCATTCTCCCCAGAACCCGGTCGGAACAAAAGAGGAGACAACAATTGCTGAACTCTTGAGCATTATCTACCGTGCCTGCCCCTTTTACTAGGAAAAACACAACTCTTCCTTCAGTGCAACTTGCAAAAGTAAGAGTGACTAATGATGTAACAACTTGCACGGATGTGTCGCAATCCAAAAGCTTTGTTTCAAGTTTATTATGTTTAAATGTAGCCAATTAGGAAAAGCAAGACAATCATCATGTGTCCAGAAAGGCCATTTAAAATCCAGGCAGCCTGCCAAAAGTCACAATATTAATACTGAAAGAATTGGCAACTAAGAACTCATTTGAAGAGTCAGATAAGGTCCAAATATAATAGAGAAAGAAATAAATAACTAAATTACCCGGTTCAGTTGTTCACTCTGTTTAATGATTAAAAATCTGAGTTTTGAAGATCATGAAAGCAGGTATGGTTTCTAATACAGCCTCTATATTTCGATTTCACAAGCATTCATGATTGTGGCTCCATTTTGATAATCATCAATTCCACAATTTGACCATCATTCCCAGTACCATTTAACTCCATATAAACTGCAACATACAGGTTCCATGCGAGAAAATATACGAATCCAGCAGCACGTAATGGCAGTGTAAGGAAGAAGCAGACAACCAGCGGCAATAATAGCATTAGAGTGTAAGATCGGTTTCGTTTGCACATCAAGCAAGTAAAGGACCGTAACACACCAAAATATAGAACATTCAAGGGAACAAAATACAGTAGATTATAAGAGCCAAGTTTCACACTTTCAAAAGACTGATCCATTTTGCTGTCATGTCCAGAAGAGAAGACATCATGTCAGCCCTAACTCCATAACGGCATCCCTTCACAGGACCTCAAAGTTTTCAGCTGTGAAAAATATTAACATAATCCATTAGCACCACAATTTGTTGAAGATCGGACATGCAAATTCAGTAAATGTTGTATAACATAATCTCAGCAGTCAAATTACCCAGATCTGAATCCACCAGAACCTCGGCGATCGTACGGCCCAGCACGATCACGACTATATCTGTCACCTCCACTACGTCCACCAGCATCCCGATTCCGGCCATCAAACCGATCTCCATTCCGGTCAGGACCATAACGGCTGCCACCTCTGCCGCCACTGCTGCTGTACCTATCATCCCTTCCTCCATACCTTCCACCTTCACTGGGACACTCCCGAGCAAAATGCCCTGGCTTGCCACACCTGAAGCACTCCCCACCACCAGATCCCCTACCACCTCCATATTCACGAGGGCGATCATGATCACGTCCTCGGACACGGTCACGGTCATGTGGGCGATCATTGTCATAATCCCTACCTGAACCTTGGTGAGGCTGAGCTTTGTCTACAGTTATGCTTCGACCGTCTAAATCCATCCCATTCATCGCTTCAATGGCCTCTTCCATCGCTTTCTTTTCATCAAAAGTGACAAACCCAAAGCCACGGGACCGGCCAGAGACCTTGTCAATGACGACCTACATGAAAGAAGGAATTTTCATGGTGAGAATCCCTTTCTTCTCCTCCTTTAAGTATATGAATAAAGTCATAATATGAATTTCACAATGGGACCCAAATCATAACTACTCATGGCTATTAATTTATCTTAATATATGTTTCAGAAAAACATTTCTAGTCAGTTGACACACATTTATCTCCCAGTTATCTGTCCCAGAAAGGAAAAGGCAGGAGAGATTTACTAAAATAGCAGCCGCCAAAGACTCGATAGATATATTACATGAATGCATAAATGCTTATTGTTACAACTTGAACACCTCGGAACCTACTAAAAAACTCAAAGTCTCCCTTCTAATAGATTAACTCACAAACACAGACAGATATCTGTTCGAGGAGGTGAAGAGAACATATTGCTAGGTGTGGTTTGGAGTGACAGTACACCACAACAGATCATAAACAACATGGGAACAAATCATGGCTTTACTCACTAGAACATAAAAGAACAATAATTATTTATGACCTGAAATAAATTATCACAGGAAGCAATTGAATTGTTTATTACCTTCGCCTCAAGGAGATGGCCAAACTTCTCAAATGCTTCTTTCAGACCTCGATCAGATGTTGACCATGATAAGCCACCAATAAAGCAACGATACTCAGCATCATCTGACATGTTTCAAACTGCTTTCTTCCAAAAAGAGAGAGGATAAGAAGAACATTGAGAGAAGATTTTGACTTTCATGAAATAAATCAACTAATAGCTAACTCATGACATGTCATAATGGTAAAAAGGAAAATGATATGAACAAATTATATTCATAGCTCAACTCAGATCTAATATGAGCAGAATGGGTTTACAAGACAAGCAGGCAGAAAAAGCCGTTGTAATGTGGATGTCATGTGATTATATAACCATATGATGCAAGAATCATACTCAACAGCCTTCAACTGTAAAGATTATTAATCACTTCAAAGTTTCTAACCGTATTGCTACCTTTATGACTTTCTAGCCAACTTCCATCCTCTCTACTGATGTATTTAATGATTCTACTTTCAGAGTGAAGAAAGTGAGACTTGTGAATAATGCACATAAAGCAAGTTTGATTCATTAAATCCCTGCCACTCATGTAAATAGGTCTAACTATATTCATGAAATATCACAAAACAAAGGAATCCTGAACCTCATCACATTTCTATTTGAAGAATGTTTTGAAAACTTTTTTTTAAATCTTCTTGCCTTGTGTGAACCACACATAAATAAATAAATAAATAAATAAGGAAGAGGAGGAAAAGAGCTTTGTTTGAAATGTCCGTAGGATTGAAGGGGGGAGAATCAATCCGCAGTAGAATCAACTTCACCATAATTATCTGATATATGTTGTCCTCACCAAAAATAACATTTCAGTACACGGGCTTCTCTAGTTCAGTTGGTAGGATAGGGAAATAATTTTACACACAAAAAGATAATGGATCCACATGCTTAGAATTTCTTTCTACAGAGACGTGCACATAAGATGAATTCCTGTATAATATGCCAGCCAAAGCCATTCATTTACATATACCATTTTCTATTACTATCCATAGATGACATGCACAATCGTAAAATAGCTTGTACAAAAATTCTTTAAACAACCGGTGGATCACAACAATTAAAAAAATCAGAAGTACATCCTGTTCAAACGTGTTACCAAATAAGTTTCTACTTCTCCAAAAAATTTAAATTTAGGTCATTCATTATCACAATCTTCCCAAAACAAGACCATAAATTAACACAAGTCGTTCACAAAATAATCAACTTACTGAAGAGACAAGATCTAAGAAATTCAGTTATCAGAAAGATTGTACTATTAATCAAAAATATAAAAAGAGTAAACTTGATTATACCTGAGGTGCAGACTTGAACAGAGAAAGCCAGAGGATTTTTTGAGATTATTTATTTGCTTTAAAGAAAGAATCTTGCAAGAAAGCAATACAGTGGGAATGGAATTTTACTTTCAATTATAATATATTTATAGAGAAAAATCCCCATCGAGAGAATTAAAGAATTGATCCTAAAGGTCTTTTAATTCATAATTATCACAAATACAAACAAATTATATATCACCATAAGTGAATCAAGAAATTATGAAGTTAAAGCAGATCCGAGATTTAGAGAATTGTCGGAGTATAGAAACGTTAAATCGATCATACCTTAGGCGTGGACCACGAGAGAGAAAGAAGAAAGGTTGAATGAAATTCCTGTACGAACTATTAAAATGGAATTTTCCTCATTTTCAGTAATCTGATCTGCAGAGGAAAATTAGAGTGGATCCAGTTGTAGATTCAGGCCATCATAGGGTTGACTTCTAGCTATTCCTTTTTTTTTTTTTTTGATATTCAGGTATCCCAACTTACACTAGACTAAATCTTGGACCCCAAAACCCTTGCCCCTAGAACTTTGGGGGGTTAAATCCCGGGTTATGCCTCAACTAGATCACAAGTTCCCCCCATCGCCTGTACATTTCTGCGCACAAGAGATCCTCCTCCAAAGTGATTGTTCCATACCAAATTTTTGGCCGCAAGTTCCCATCAGGATTCGAACATCCACCCTATCGCTGAAAGTAAGACAAATATTGATTGATCTACCAATTGAACTGTGCCCCGGAGGGCTGACTTCTAGCTATTCTTTCATATAGAGAATGTTGAACATGTTAATTTAAAATGATTTATCAATAACTAATTGATAAATAATAAATTTGATAGCAAAAATTATATAGCAAGTCTCAACTCATATTCAAAGGCCTTGACAATACTATGCCTCTGTTTAGGCTCCATTCTTCTTCTCATTATTTTTTTCTCTTATTTTCAATCATACAATCTTTCATAAGTAATATTACAAGCAAATAAAAAAAATTCATTCTTTTTCAATCACATATTTTTCAAAAAAAAAAAATTATTATTCCAATCATTAAAATTTGAAAAGAATGGAGGCCAAACAGGGATCGTATACTAGTACACTTACATTTCTCTTAATATGTTACTTGTTCCATTGAATTAATTTTTCAAAGTTTAAGAAACTCACGGCAAACTTAAATAATTTACCAAAGGTTATGAGTAAAGCGAATTTTCTTCATGATAGAATCAAATAAGAGCTTCGTAGTAAAGTATCCCTTTCACATGTCCTCACCTATTGATTTCGAAAGTAATAAAAATTGCTTAATTGACAGTCATGTTATAAATGGTTGTCTATATAACTCCAATGTGACAGCCTAAAAATGGATTGGTAAATTTAGAGTTATAATATAGCATATCCTTTGGTTAACATGTTGAAATGCATATTATCATTTTTAACACTTTTTTGGTCATAATGGTGACTTTCGCATAGCTATTACGTCGAAGATTCGTTGTAGAATGGTGGTCAATTAAGCAATATTTTTAATTTAAGATATGTAGTTGACAAAGTGATGTAATTTGAAATTAAAATTGAAGTTTGATGATTTAAATGAAAATTTTAAATAAACTTTGGTAACTTCATTAATATAAATTAAAATTTAGGGATGAAATTAAAATTCTTCTGAATGTTTAATGACCATAGATGAAATTTATCCTCGAGGGTTTTGGGTTTTAGAAAAAGGAGATCAAATTGTTGCCACTCGCCGTCACACACCGGACACGGGCCTTAACATCGTCTGTGCTCGCTCCACGCGCCACCACCTCCACCTCCACCACTCTTAACCACCACTTTAGTTTCTCTTACGTCGTCCTATAGACTCTGATAGCACTCACCCTTCGTAGAAGTAGTATTCATTTCCTTACAGTACAAATTGCAGTATGTGGTATCTCTGCGTATTCTACCATAGATTACTGGAATATAGAAAACCCGAATTTGAATCTCTTGCAGGACTCTTCGGTGCATTCGATGGAACCACCACAGGATTGTTGGAATGGAAGCTTCCGGAGGACCACCATCCCGATTCACCTTTCCATTTCGTCAATATTCCTTCTGAAGAAATTGCTCGAAACATCGCCAGTCGAAGTAAGCATTTGCATGTATACCTATGCCCGCACAAATACATAGTATTTTTTGTGCTGTAAAAATATTCTACTATAATTAACTTTTTCGAATTGGAGGCTTGTATGATGTTTGCTATTGAATTAAGATGAAACTTTGGTATTGGTTGAATGAACTCGTAACGGAGAATAGCTATGATTTCTTTCACTTTTGCATTCATAGTTTGTTCAAATTACAATGCTTTGGAATAGAGTTAAGATGGTCAATATTGAATTCTATTAGTTATCTCAATTTCTTAGCTTTCTTTTATTTTTTATTTTAAGATGTATTCTAGGGTTATTGCTTTTGCTAATTTTTTTAGTAGACATGGATTACTGTTGATTTATTCAAGAAGTCAAAGAAAGGGTTGGTTGTAAGTTAAAATACAAGCTCATAACTGTTGATTCACTAGCTTACCCAAGTTTATTGGGGAAAAGAATTAGCTTGTTGCTGTATATAATGAGATAGAATTTCTTCATTTCATACCTATATATTAACAGTGATATATGCTTAATTATTCCTTCTGGTGTAAGCGGAATTTGTTAAATACTCTGACATCTAAGTTGATGCGCTAACATGCTTTCGTCCAGCATTTCAGCTTTTATCTTCATGCTGAGATATTTGGAAAGAGTTTTGAGGATAAATCTCATGCCTTGGCCTCTTTGGGTGTGCAGGTATTCTCGTGAAGGGAATATATGAACTGTGGGGGGATGGACAAAGTTTTGAGGAATTGGAAGAGGCTGTCAAAAGTTATCCAGATGAACGGAAGTTGCCATACTTGTCACGTGACAGTACTTTTAAGATTAATGTTGAGAGCTTTGGGAAGGTTATCAGCTTTGAGGAGCAAAATAACCGCCTTCAAAAGCTAGCATTTGTTCCTTTTAAGGTGTAATTGTATTTGATTTCAAGTTGATTATTATTAACTTAAAAATACAGTAACTCAAGTAAGTAAAAAAATGTTTAAGGCAAGAGCTAACTTAAATTACTGTAATATGCAATTGCTTCAAGATGACTTGGGCTGTTAAATGTTATTAACGGAGACTTCAATATTATGAAAGTTCTCTACTTATTTATTTCTTTATTTTTATTTTTTTTTGGGTCTTCATGAACCTGGATGAAGTTAGCATGCTTCTTTGTTTTTCTTTTTTTCTGATTAAGTACGTGGGTGTTCATGTTCAGACTTTAATGTTTACTTTCTGTTACCTGATGGCAAAGATCAGTTAGGTGCCTGAGGAGATTTGAACTTTTCTGTAGATCTTTTTGGATACTAATATTGTCAATTGTTGCTAACTGATGACTCGATATATTTCAGGGGCGGGTGAATTTGAAAAAACCTGATCACAATTTCTTTCTTATGGATAATGACGATTATGGATCTGAGAACGGGCTTCCACCTATTGTGCATAGGAGGATCTTTTTTGGTCGGGAAATTGGCACTGCTGATAGGAAGATCTTGCAAACCTATCAATTAAAAAGCCGCAAATATCTTGGCCCAACAGCAATGGATGCAGAAATGGCTTTCTTGATGGCAAATCAAGCACAAGTCAGAACTGGGAAATTGGTCTATGACCCTTTTGTTGGCACTGGAAGCATTCTGATCGCAGCAGCTCATTTTGGAGCGATGACAATGGTTTGTGATGTTCTGCAAAATTTAGCCTTTTTTATCCCTGTTTGCACTGTTTAAGATTATTGAATGATAATTATTTCAACTGATTATTGTCAAGTTGTCATTGAAATTATCTAGTGAGTTTTTGGTGCATCTGGTAAAATCATATTTTTGAAATGTTATTATGTGCGCCAATGCTGGACCTGCTTGCTAATAAGAAAGTTTGATTATTGATTATTGGAGGAATCATGGCAAAGGTGCCAGTGAATAACCAATAATCAAGTCCAAAAATTATGACACTTTTATTTCTCAATTGTTTGTTTAATCAAATTAGTCAGAGCTGATTTTGTTCCAGTTTCACTAATGTGAATATTTCAGGGTGCAGATATTGACATTCGGGTAGTGCGTGATGGCCGCGGTCCTGATTGTAATGTCTGGAGCAATTTCAAGCAGGTGATTTATTGACTTCTTTTTCTCCATGTTTTTGGATTACCGTGCTCTTGGAACTCTCTCTCTCTCTTGATGTTATATCACTATCTTGTCGTGCAAATGCTTTCCTCATCCCTCAGGGTCAAATTTATAACAATCTCATAGTACTATTGTTACGTGAATTCTGAGGGGAAATGAAGATATCTCATCGAGCATGGAAATGTCGTCGTCCTTTCATGTCCCAAAGAAATCTTATCAAATCCCATGACCTAGTTTGCTGAGTTTTTCATTTATCTGTTTGCCGTAAACCTGATACATGTTTCTGTTGCTTTACAGTATGGATTGCCAATGCCATTATCATTGTTAAGGGCTGATAATAACCTTCCACCTTGGCGTTCTGGATTAAAAGAGGTAATTTGACCACTTAAGTTGCTTATGCAATTTGTTTCCTCTTTCCATGTTCCTGCAGTTTGTTATTTTATGATACTATCTCCTTAATTTTCTGATTTGAGTGCTTTGAGTTCCAAGTGTTTCCAAAGAACATTCTACTGGTTCTGGTAATTACTTTGTTTTTGGGTTATGGGCCATCTACTGATATACCAGACTGAAAGAGAGGAGTATTCTGTTACAGATGGCATCAGTATTGTAGGCCAGCATGTCCGACTATGTCAACAAGGCCAAAGTCTGAATCGAAGCTTTATATATGGCATCAGAATCACACTCGTTAACATGGATTTAAGAATTTTGGACTAGTCGATTACTTGGTTACTAACTTTGTCAGGGTTGGATCTAACATTCCATGAGCTGTGATGTTCAACTGCTGCCATAAATTTCCTTGTTTCTTTTTATTTTTGAAATTTTAGTGCTTCTTGCAGATGTTTGATGCCATAATATGTGACCCTCCTTACGGTGTTCGTGCTGGAGGACGTAAATCTGGTGGCCGTAAGCTTTTGAAAGGCGTTGTTGCTCCCTATACTGTTCCCGATGACAAGAGGACTGGCCACATACCGTCTACTGCCCCTTACAGCTTAGTGGAGTGTGTGCATGATTTGCTTGACCTTGCTGCTAGGATGCTTGTAACAGGGGGTCGACTTGTCTACTTCTACCCTGTTCTTAGAGACAATGAATCCGTAGATCCCAATTTCCCAGAGCACCCATGTTTCAAATTGGTTGCTTCCTGCGAACAGATCCTTAGCTACAGGTACAGCCGGGTTTTGCTAACCATGATCAAGATTGCACCATACACTGAAGATATTGCAGAGGCAGCTAGGATTAAGCATTTGGAGTTCAAGGAAAACCATCTCAAGTGGTTAGAAGATGGTAACTTACGTTCAGCTGTTTTCGAGCCTGCTGATATTCATATTAATGGTTCAAGTGATGCAAAATTTGGTACAAAGCCTAAATACAGGGGAAAATATGTGTAAGTTTTACATTAAACAGCCAATTTTTGGCGGGATCTTTAGATTTTCGGCCTAGAATAGAAGGTGGTGTTATCTTTTAATACTGTAAAATTTATGCTGTTAAACACGCCATCAAAATATATTTAGTGAAAAGCTCTGCGTCGAACTTCAACCCCTTCGAGTTAGCTTTTCGAACTAGAAAACAATTAAATAGTCAAGACAGCCCAAATCGTTACACCTTTCGTGCGGTTGGAGCCAGCACATCCATCATAGTTAGCAATTGATGTTGTCGAGATTATCAAAATAAACCTTTCTAATTCAGTCAGCGAGTAGTCAGGCGAGATTCATTTTCCAACGAATGCCTAATTTAACTCCGTAGGAACTCTATTTCTTCTTGCTTTTCTACTCTTCATCCTCTTCAGTTTTGGTCGAGATTATTAAGATATTTATTAATCGTTCTTTTTTGTTTCGGCCAAACTAGTGTGCCAAACATGTCATTAGTTGAATCAAAAGCCGTGGCCATACAAAGTCATCATCCAAAGAAAAGCAAGTAGAAAGGTTCTGCTTGTGTCAATGTCAACATGATGTCTCTATCAATGAAACTTAAAAAACTTTATGAACAAGTTGAGATTGGGGCGAGGCATGTGTTGGTGCAATCATAATGACTTGCAATTTGATTTGGTCTTTTCCAAGCAAGGTCCAAACTCCTGAAAGTTTAATTAGTACATGGGGCTGACTTGCCTTCCTTTACAATTGATTAGAGTATATAGTACAAAAGGAAATTCGTCTTATACATTTACATTACTTCATCTCTCCATATCTCTCATGCTGCTGCATGTGCTGTCTTTCAGTGCTTACGAGCTTATTAAGCAATGAAATTGTTTTATTATACCCAAACTTATGCTTACTTGTAAATTTCATATGCAAGAAATCAATTGCTTTTACATCTATTTTTCTTTAAACTCATTTTCAACCACACATTCTTCTATCGAAATAATTTTATACGTAAACCCAAAATGTTTTTCTACTTTTTAGCTTCACATTTTCTCAAGAAAATAATTTGTACGTAAGCTCTAAACTTTTTACTACATATTCTCCAAAAAATCATAATCACCAAAATCATTTTTTCCCAAAAAATAAAAAAAATAAATAATAATAAATAATAATAATAATAATAATAATAATAATAATAATGGAGCTCAAACAAAGTATTAAGTTATTTCGTCCAATAATCATTTGGGATAGCGATACCTAATCTCGTGAACGTTACATATGCTTTGATATCACGTTAAATTACTTGGTCCATATTTGGTTTAGCTATTGAAGTGAACTAAATTTAGGTAAAGTCAACAAGTAACTTGAACAAAAATTTTTACACAATCTGCAATTTTTCGACAGCATGGTCCAATAACTTTAATCAAATCCACTAAAATCTATTTTTTATTTAATCGAAAGAGGAGCTTAATCTAAATGTTTGGGCTCATTTAGCCCCCGTTTGACATCTATTATTTCAAAATATAATTTTTCTTTCTTTTATTTTTAACAGCACGGTCTTTCATAAAATAATATTACATGTAAATAGAAAAAATTCAATTTTTTTAATCACATATTCTCCAAAAAATACTATTTTAAAATTTATAAATTGTAATAATGGGGGTAATAGCGACTCGATCATCTAGTTAGATTATAATTGAGTTCAAGCTCAAGTTAAGTTTTAAGCTACTTTTGTTGATTTGACAGTTCAAATAAAGTCAGCCGTTTCAAATCAGATTCGAACAATTTAGCCCCCGTTTGTCATCATTTAACAAATTAAATTGTTTTGTTACAATAACAATCTCCACCATACATTAATACAATAAAATATTCTACACAGAAATTAATAAAGTTTTTTTAAATTTTAACCACACAATCTCCAAAAAATACTATTGAAAATTTTATAATTTCTCCTATAATAGGAGACAAACAGACTCTTAATTTATTTTGTTAGATCTAATACACGTAATTGAACAATACATTCATATTCATTTACGTATATAACGTCTATTCGATTTAGATAAAAAGTCGATTTTTATTACATTTTGATTAAAAAAAATGATGAATTGTATGATTAAAAGTCGTGAATCTCATAAAATATATGGTTGTTGACTTTAACTTAAATTTTTAATTAAATCAAACGTGGATGTAAATGCAATTAATCTATTTGAAAATCCTTTGAATATATTCGTTCTTTGGACACTCCGAGGAATGGCTTAGTCGATTGTTTGCTCTACATATCCATGGCCTGGATGGACACAATAAAGAGTGTCACCTACCTAAGGTAGGTGCAAACAGTCGAACATTTGTCTCATCATAAATTAAAAGAGTGAGATTTTTGTTCAAGCAAACCTTAACTGATCCAATTATACAATTTTTTAATATCGAAAAGGATTCTTAACCAGAAAGTTACAGCAATAGTGTCTAGCCCTTGTTGATAGGTCTAAGGATTAGGGGACGGTGTAAAGTACAACATGGTACAATTTTTTAGTCAATTTTGTTTTTAGTACAAGAGGATTAGGATCAAGGAAGGTAAAATGATTAAATTATTAGTAATTAACTATTTTTTGACCAATACAACTTGCAATAGTCACCATTAACTTTGATATGCATAATGTGGAATGCAAGTTGCAAGTTTGGAAGATCTTTATATTTTGAAGAAGTGCTTTTTATTTAGGTTTGAATTCGACATGCCGAAAGCAACTTGTATGCTTGATTTGCACATGAAAGATCGAGATATGGCCTCGGACCACAAGAAAGGCTCTTTTGTTCGTTCTGTACTGTAGCCACTAGAAATTTGTCTGTCAATTTCTCTTATACTCAATTAAGAAGTTCGAATAAAGAAAGAAAATTGCCTAGTCTTGTAAACTTTGTGACATCTTGTTAATTCAAACAAGAACAAAAGTTTATTCACATAGTCTTAATTTTCTTTTACTGCTATTGTAACGGGGTTGCTTGAAAGATTAAAACCTCGTCCCTGAAGGACCGTGACATCTACCCCATGATCCCAGAGTCAAAAGTGACGCGAACTCGTGTTTAATTTTTTTGGAAAAAAAAAAGACTTATTAGTGAGAAAAAGACAAATTAATTTTAAAACAAAAAATAACATATTTTAAAAAGAATTTCATGCTTGCGTCACAATGACTTAATGCTTACTTTGTGATACAACTACCATATTCTCATCATACCATAAAAATGCTAAAAAAGGTTACTCAATATGAAGATCAAGATTGCCAAATACCACCCTACCACTCCCCACCCAACCCTCGACCCCACCCACTATCCCACAGAGTGGTTAATGGGCCACTCTATACCAGTAATCCCTGCACGTGACAGTCCCCCCAACAAAATTATGAAATTACAGAATTTTGAAGCAACATTATTGTGGCATATAGAGACATCAGTTTGATCCATCTTTATCTTAATGCGCAATTCATGTGGTCGATTATGCTGATGGTTATCTCCACGTGTCACTACTTCAGAATTGCTCAGTAAATAGTCCATGTTATCGTTTATCATATTTTGATAGAATAATGATATTTGCAGCGCTCACTACAACAGTCGCCCTACGTGGCATACACTTGGTAGGTGGTTATTTGATGTATTAATGAATAAAAAAAACTATCACATTAATGTATCAAATAATTACCTGCCATGTGTATGCCACGTAGGGCGACTACCACAGTGAGCGACTACGAATAGCATTACTCTATGTGATAAGCACATTTTGTCTAATATACATAAACATGTTGATAGACATATAACATAGATTTGCATTGAAGAGATTACATTTAATGAACTGATTACAACGTTTTTTTTTGTTTTTCTAAGATTGACATATTTAAAACATTCTACATTAAGGGTATGCCATTTTGGACCCTACTTTCTTGTATCTATTTTGGCAAACTAATCTCGTCGAGATCATCAAACGACAAGAAAACTTCATCCAAGCATGAAAGTTCTGTACTATCATCGTCGTCGTTATTGTTGTTATATTGTTGCACTCGACACACCACCCATGTACTATATTCCTTCAAGAAAATCAAAATAATATAAAGTTAAGTAGTAACTTTTCTTCCCACAATAACATAGCAACTACAAAGAAAATAATTTGACACATGCACGAACAAATACACCATATGGACATCAAGTACGAAGTGTCGGACAAACAATTGGCTAGATATCAGCTTCTTTCTCTTCTTTAATATATATATTGTATAGGGTTTTGTTTGTACTTACCATCTTTGAACTTCTTCTTCTTGATGAAGAAGAATCAGAGAACCCAAATTCCTGCATTATCCAATTTGTTTTAACACCCTGTGGAGATTCACCCATGTAAAATGCATAACATTTCTTCATGCCAACTTTTTGGGCAGCACTAGAGTATATTGGTTCATCTACACCCAAAGATTGCCAATATCCACTACCAGTTATTCTGGTTTGTGTCCTCCTGCTGTAGTAGTACCATTTGTTACCTTCACGCATTGCTTTGCCTGCACGCAAGATCAAGTATCTATTAACAAAACGATGATCTTCATGAATATAAATAGATTAACATAATTTATATTACCATCTAGTTCCCATGGATCATAGGGACGGAGGTCAAGATCAGGGATGATATCAGGGTGGTAAGGTAAAGGGGAGGCCTTTCGATGAAGGAAATGGACAACGAGCTCTTCATCACTAGGATTGAATCGAAAACCAGGTGGCAAGTTGAAATTGTTATCCCCCATCAAGTGTGTACTTATGCAGAAGTGAAAATGAAGATGTGGGGTTGTGGGGAATGGTATATATATATATATATAGAGAGAGAGAGAGAGAGAGAGAGACGTGAAATAGAAGGTGTGGTTGATCAGCAGCACCATCAACATTAAAGCATAGCCATTATTTTTTTATATATAACTGAGTGCCTTAATTCCAAGGCGGCGGGTTGGATATTTTCCAAGTAACGGGATTCGTTGGCAGTATTGGGAATGAGTGGGCGGGAGAGAGGGAGGAGGGTTAATATGTGCATGTATCTATTTTTGATATTTTGGAAATGGGGTATGTATATACTTGTTATTATGCCCATGTTTGGTGGGATTAAAATTTTTATTTTTATTTAAGTTAAAGTTAAAAATTAATTTTAATTATTTTTAACTTTTCAATCACAAATTTTATCAACTTTTATTAAAAATTGAGTTCAATCCCCCATCAGACTAAGGCTATATGTCTGTTTGGTGTGAATTAAATTCAAATTTTATTTTATTTTATTTTATTATTATTATTTTTTTGTAGATTTTGATTAAAATATATGAGATATATGGTTGAAAAATTGTAAATCCAACGGAATAGATTGTTTAAAATTAAATGTTGACTGTGACTTAAATTAGAATTTTAATTTCTATCAAACTGAGGTTATATTTGTTAATGTGGGCCATCATCACACTTATATTACCCTCTCAATGACCGATACTGAATTCCTCCCAGCCCTAGTCTAGAAAGAAGACTAAAGTCATTGGTTCAAATTTGATTAAAAGGCTTTTTTTGCAGGTGGAAATCGACTTGATCCTAACCCACAATCAAGCCTGCTTTCCTTGACGGGAGAATCCAGGCTATTCAAGAAGAATCGCATCAACTCATGACAATCCATCCTCGATCATCAACCTTGAACAATCAACGTGGCATGTTCCGTACATCTAGTTAAATATTTGCAAGTGGACAATTATGAAATTTTATTGCTAGGCATATTCTTACTCTGATACGATAGTAAATTTTTTATCTTTTAAACTTTTGAATTATTGAGTTATTAAATACATATCTTAGGTGGGGTATTTGATCTTAGGTGGAAAGCCCCACCATTAAGGAGTGTCCATAAACCAATTATGATCACAATTTATGAGATGCACAAGCAATTGGGTTCTTAGTTTTATCCCAAATTTTCATGGTCCCATTAGTTTTGATTCTTCGGTTGAATGTTAATTTCTTTTTCTGATCAAGAATGAGTTTTTACTTTACTCATTTTATAAACCACTTATTTTGGACAATGATGATGGAACAGGATCAATTAATTCAATGGATTTACCACAACCAACTTAACCAATAGGAGATTATAATGAGTATTATCTTATCTAATTAAGTCCAATAATAACATTCTTCTTCAGTTCAAAATGAGATCAATTGAGAAAAAGAGAAGCCCAAATGAAATTCTCTTCTTTTTGTCACTTGTGAAAGAGGGAGAACTCTACAAAAATATCAAAAATATCAATGATCGTTACTTTGGTATTTCACTGTGATCGATTTGCTAATGTCGTTTATTTGACATATTTTTTATAAATGAAAGGTTTTGACAACTTATATAATTAAGAACGTCAAGGTTCAAAAAACAACACAAATATCTCAAATTTTAATCGATACAATCACAATATCGTACCTTAATCATCATCACATTTCACTGGCATCATATCCTTGTGATATAACAATCATATTATCACGTCAAGATTATCCAAATCACGGCATCACCACACACCCTAGTCGAGGAGATCAAACATTATAGAATTTTTATACTTATGTCACCATATATTATGCTTATGAATATTTGCACTAGTGTAGTTGTACCCTACAAATGTCCAGTCCATTAATTCTCTCAAGTCCTGACAATCCATATAGCATAAATTTTGTACCTAGATTCTCTTTAACCATATCCTATCCCACCAATTCTTGGAGTTGTTATTGACACATTCTGCACAAAACTTTGTGCAATCAAGCATGTGAAACACAAGTACAGTGACTTTCGATGTACCGAACCGAACTAGATTAGACACGATAAACTAGATAAGTACTTAAAAAAATATTTCTAAGTCGTCACCTAAAATATTAATCTTGTTAATAGCATTCAAAATCTTTAGGGCCTTGCTATTTAAGAATTCCAAGAAGATGCCCTCACACTCGTACTATGTGTCCATTTCAAAGCCAACCCAAGTGCTTCTCGATGATTTACAACAAAATTTTATTTGGCTTCCAAATAACTCCATGCTTTTTTCATGGTTGATTTCTATGTGAATATAAATAGAAGGTTAACGTATAAAATCTTATTTTATTAATTCTTTCACACTTTATATATAACTCAATTCTATGAAACCTTTAATGCAAACTTGAAATTTTAAGCTCGTTGACAAGCTAGAATATACATAAATGACATAATTTTGAAGAGTTTTATTATTTAACCAATATTAATCGTCAAAAAAGTTAATTTAAAAATTCCCATTGAATTGACAATCACTTGCCTAGTTAGTTGATATATGATCTTACCAAATTCTACATCGTTCAATCTCAATCATGATTATTAATAGATTTAAGTATTCGTGCTCCATTAACATGCCATGAGAGCCGATATAAGCTTTAATAAGACAAAATGTTAGGTACCCTCATTTCCTTCAACTTGAAATAAAAGTAAAACTCCAATTTTCAAATTTAATTAGCTGCCGCAGAAGTTATACTATCAGCAGTTACAAAAAAATTGTACTTTGTCCATATCAGATACATTATAGCCGCAAAAGCAACAGTTTTGTTAGTCGGCCTCGACAAGGTCAACTAGCTTCATTAAAAAGTCAATGATAGTTCTGGAATCTGATCACAACAATAGTTGACGATGAGGTGGGACAAGGTGATGCAAATTTATTAATTATGATGTCCCTTCAAATTATGATAGTCAATGTGTGAGCTTAAACTTTTCTGTGGAGTCTAAACTTCCAGTTTGTTGGCTTGAGTCCCCTAATTCTATTTTCTAATAAAGTTAGGTAGGAGTGTCAGACGCCGACAAATACAAACACTACATCAAAAATGATCTATTGCAACACATAAAATGCAACACTCGGTAGTTAAGTATTGCTAAAAAGGTCCATTGCAATATTGGAATAAGTGAATGTTGCAATTAGTTAATGAAATTGAATTTTAGCAACATTTTTAAAATAAATGTTGTCAAAGATACTTTCCACGACGTTTTTGGAAAGTTGCGAAAAGTTTTAATTTTTGCAACATTTAAAAAACGTTGCGAAAAGTCTACCTTTTGCAACGTTTTTTAAACGTTGCAAAAATTAAAACTTTTCGTAACTTTCCAAAAATGTTGTAAAAAGTCTACCTTTGGTAATGTTTAAAAAACGTTGCAAAAGATACCTTTCGCAACGTTTTTTTAAACGTTGCCAAAGGTAGACTTTTTGTAATATTTTTAAACGTTGCAAAAGATAACCTACTAGGCCAGTAGTCCTTTAATGGACATTTTTTTTGGATTGTTGGGCCTTTCAATTTAGAAGCCCAAGAGAAAAACGTTGTAGGCCTAAACTACCAACTCAACCTCACCTCACCTCGCCATTCTCCATGCCTCAGTCTCGCACCTCTGCCTCTCGCCGACTTCAACTACCACAACTAGAGGTGGGCAAAACCCAACCTAACTGATGTAGATCGAATCTACAAACACCCGATACTAATAACTCAAGCCGATTGAACGCAAGAAACAAACGTTTTTCTTATTTCATGAATAACAAAAAATCATAGGAGACATTTTTAGAGTCTTAAATACAAAAAGAACAGATAATCTACTAGGTCAGCAGTCCTTTAATGGGCTGGGCTACAAAACGGGAATAATAAATACGAAAAATAATAAACTACAAAACTTTAAGTGTTGTTTTGACCTAATAAACGAATTCAAATGGTCAAAATCTATCATACTTCATAGCAAAGCTGTGAGTTCATCTAGAATCGTCGCGAGCTTTTCGGAATGAGGTTATAGGCCCAAAACAGACACCGTATGCAAAAGTTACGCCAATTTCTTCGAGCGCCGACCATCCTAGTATTTCATATATGCAAGTGTTTGTTCCTCCACACGAACCTTATCACCAACCCACCAAAATCAACCGAACCGAACCAACTCAATGTTTGGGTCGATTTTTGCTTATTTTTTAAGTGTGCTCACCCAAGCCTAGGTCCATTAGTTTTGTTTTTATAGGCCCAAAACAGACACCGTATGCAAAAGTTACGCCAATTTCTTCGAGCGCCGACCATCCTAGTATTTCATATATGCAAGTGTTTGTTCCTCCACACGAACCTTATCACCAACCCACCAAAATCAACCGAACCGAACCAACTCAATGTTTGGGTCGATTTTTGCTTATTTTTTAAGTGTGCTCACCCAAGCCTAGGTCCATTAGTTTTGTTTTGTTTTTTTTTTTTTTTTGGGTTTAGCCCATTCATTTTTGTGAGCAGCCCGTATCATCAAAATGTGAGCAGACCGTGTCCAAATAAAATTGACCTAACTCCATTTTTTGGCCCGAACAAAATTGTAATTTGAATACCCATTTATAATCCAAACCCAAACCTAAATTCCAATCCTTTTGATATTATCCATTCCATTTTCTCTCTCGCGTGGAGCCTCGAGGCTCGAGTCCCACTTGGACCCATGGGCGAATTTAGCACATGGCTGCAGCCCACTGTCTTTCAAGCCCAGATGAAAAAAAAAAAAAAAGGTTCGAATTGTAATGAGTTTTCCAAATTAGCCCACCAACAAATAAACTCAGTGGGCTAGCCCACTTCAAAAAAAAAAAAATCTTTAATCCATAGCCCACTAACCTAAATTTGTAGCCCAATAATACCAATAGTCATTACCCATTTCTGAATTTTGATTCATTTGTTCACATAAAATTCATTTATCTCAAAAAAATTTCCATTCTCATAAACCCACCATTCCTTTGCAAACCATTTCAAAGAATTCCCAAAAATCAAAAATTAAAATTCCTAAATCTTCACCTTGCCCTTGCCCGTAGCCGCCGCCCA